TTATATAACCGCCCGGCCTCCTCGCCGATCCTGACCAGAAACTGCATGGCGCACAGAGCTGGGATCGAACCCGCGCCTCCCTACACAGAAATGTGTGTGTGTTATTGCGTGCAACGTTTCAACTGCAACGCTTTTCAACACAAATGTTGAACACGGCGTTCAAGGTTCAACCTCAACTCAATGTCAACGCGTGTTGAATGAACCCAAAGTCAACGCGTGTTGAATCAACCAACACAGGCTTGTTGTTTGCATGGCTCGCGTCAGCGCAGTAATGATAATCGATGATTAATGATAGCCTGGCGCGTGATATACGTGCCTCTAGCGTGCCTCACTCATGCCTCACTCATGCCTCACTCATGCCTCACTCGTGCCTATAATGCACTCAGAGAAACAAATGAGACTTTATCCAAATTTCGATACGCTTTGCCCTACACGTGAGTCATCCTGACTCAGTTAGGCCGAGCACAATGGCGTATCAGTGCTACGTCCGCTCTCATCTCGTGCGGTGGTTAAGAAAGTGTGTCATTATTTGGACTTATTATTAATTAATAATATTATTAATATTAGTATTATTAATTAATAATATAACTTATTATTATTAATTATTATTATTATTATTATTTATATATAATTAATTATTATTAATTTATAATATTAATATTATTAATTAATAATAAAATAAGTGGGACAATTAATATATTATTAATTGTCCCACTTATTATGCTGAGTGCCTCATCCGTCAGACCATAAAGCGTTCAAAATACGGAGAATAATTTGAGTCGAGCGTTAATGTAAATAATTTTGGAAAACTAATATTACAATATTCAAACTAATAATTTATACATAATATAAAATAATTTTTTCGTTAAATAATATTTCGTAAAATAATATCTAAGAAATAATGAACTGGACTAAAATAAAAGTAGGTTAATTAGGAAATAAACTGCGGTCAACCTGCGCTGGAGGTATACCGGTAATTAGTGTTATATATTATAAGTATGTTTTACATATAATGGGTATATATTATCTTTGTTATCTTTTAATGGGACTGCGCGTGACCTGTTGCCGCCGACTGTACCTTGTGACAAGTGTACACTCATGCAAAATTGATGGCTCATTTTGTCCAAATTTTGTCACTATTTGTCATCTTTGTGCAGTGGGTAAGCTCGACACACTTTCTTACTCACTGTACGAGCAGAGTGCGCACTGATAGGCCTAAATGAGTCAAGTTGACCCACAGAATGGCAACAGGTGCATTGTTATTTTGATAGTTTCACATATTTCCCTGAGTGTACTCTGCCGCAGCTGTGCTATTTTGCTCTGAATTTTCATCGGCGCGTATAATTAGTATATATTTATTTATTTATTTATATTTATTTATTTATTTGTTTATTTATTATTCATGTCCTCTGGTGTTAAAAATTTCGCAATTTCACAATTGATTGAACTCTGCTCCCCAATTAACAGTTGGTATTGTTTGTTTTATATTAGTACCTATATTTTACATCAACCTTCTATTAAATATTTTATTCTTGTTTAAAACCATTATTGTTTATTTCACAATTAACTTCAAGTTCAAATATCATCTCCTTTTTGCTGTATTGATAATGTTTACAATATTTTTTTCAGTTTTTTCTTGTTTCTTGTCGAATTATTGTATATATATCGTAGGTATTAATTATTATTAAATTTAATTATTGTATTGTGTGTTGTTTGTATTGTTCGCCTCATGCGCTCACAATGTGAGTGTTGACACTCATAAAAATATTTAGTCACATTGTCACAATATCAACACAATGTGTTGGAACAAAGTCCCCCTCATTTGCCTGAGTGTAGAGGCTGTGTTGGGACAAAGTCCCCCTCATTTCCCTGAGTGTAGAGGCTGTGTTGGAGGTGGGGTGGGTTGTAGGGTGGGTTTTGTTGGTGTGTTCACCTCCTGAATATGCTTAAATTATGCCCGTTAACAGGGTGCGTACCGGTCATGGAAAACCTGGAAAGTCCTGGAATTTGATTTTTCATTTTCCAGGCCATTGGATTTCATTTCAGGTTACGGAAAGTCATGGAATTTACAAATAAAAGAAAAAAGGGATTGTTTTTCTATGCTATGTGCGTTAAACTGTTTGTGCAGTCTCTTGTTTCCTACATTATAATTGGTTCTCGAATCACGTGAACTCAGTTGCATTGGACGACTTTTTGATGTGCAGTGGCAGCGTTCCATCTTAAGCGTGCAATTTCTACATCACGATGCCTGGAAAGTGTAAATTTCATGTCATTTCATTTCATTGTGGTTAAGAATAGAAGCTTATCATGACTGGCTTGCTCGCCATCCAAAGCATGAAGATATGGCGATAAGTACGTACATTGTGTTCGATAGACTTCGATGTGTCAAATATGGTAAGCAGCTTTGAAAAGCCATTCTACCTTAATTTAAATAGCCATGAAGAGCTATGCGTTTAATCGTTTGCTATTTATCAACTGTAGAAGAATATGCTGTAAATATTCTTTATATATGTAATGAATAAAATATATGAATATGTAAAACTGTAGAAGAATATGAACGGTTAGTCTTTCAGTCATGCTAATCCTGTCATATACGAGTCTTGGACAATTATATTGATTGTCATGGAGAGTCATGGAAAAGTCATGGAATTTTTTTTCTAAATACCAGTAGGAACCCTGCGTTAATGAAGCATTGCCACCGGCCAACTCTCCATTGTAAATGATCAGAATAATATCCGATTATCTGCCATTTATTGTACTTCACGTTCACCATTAATTGGTCTATAGTATCGACAGGAATAATTAGAGTACAATTACATCTATGAATTTTTGGACTTTTCGTCTACATATTTATTGACCGTAGTGCTGTGCCCCAATACACTGTATTGTATTGCCACAATACAATATATTGGTCACGGTCCCACCCCCCTAATGGCCGGTATTTATATAAGTTAATTAATCGCGTAAATAAATAATCAACATCTCTACCACACTCGTACAATAGGTGGACCACAGCCCATTGTGTGTGTGGGCCGCGGTGTGGTCCAGACCTGCACTAAATGTACCGCATATTGTGGTACTTACTTGCCCGGCAAATGTGCTTCTTGTTATAGTAAACCTCTCTTACTGTACTAATGAAACGTGCTACTTATTTCTCTACTTATTCTGTTTATTGTACTACTTATTATGACACTTATTGTGCTACCTATTATTATGTATAATGTGCTACCTATTATTATACATAATGTGCTACCTATTATTATATATAATGTGCTACCTATTATTATACATAATGTGCTACCTATTATTACATATAATGTGCTACCTATTATTATGTATAATGTACTACCTATTATTACATATAATGTGCTACCTATTATTATGTATAATGCGCTACCTATTATTACATATAATGTGCTACCTATTATTATGTATAATGTGCTACCTATTATTACATATAATGTGCTACCTATTATTATATATAATGTATTACCTATTATTATATATAATGTACTACCTATTATTATGTATATTGTGCTACCTATTATTATGTATAATGTGCTACCTATTATTATGTATAATGAACCATCTCTTATTATATATAATGTGATACTGTAACTATTATTATATTTAATGTGCTACCTATTATTATATATGATGTACTTCCTTCCTTAATTCAATTTTCGCTACATCTTGTACTAACAGTTGTACTACTTATCATACCACTCATTGTTCTACTGCACCGCCTATTGTATCACCTATTTGCGCATTTACTGTACATTTATTGTACCTAACTGTGTACTGTGTAATAAGTTATGTCTTTGTTCATCTTGAAATTATGTTAATGATATTATATCATATACTGTATTATATTACTTCACACACAATCAAATATTATACTATTACATGTATATTATGTTACTTTACATTCCATAATATTATATTAAATTATATTACATTATTTATACTATATCAGACAACATTATATTTTATAATAAAATATTGAAAATATAAATATTATGAATATTTCTGTTAAGTTGTCCCGATAGCTGCGCGGGTGTCGGCTCGTTTACGACGCGTTACGACGCGCCGTACACGTGTCACGTGATGACGTCACGACACGTGACGTGTTCCAGCTCTACTTGTTATCTTCTTATTATAACTTTTTCTTTATTATAACATTTATTCAAATATAACTTCATTTCTCTTAAAGGTTTTTATATCTTCAAACCTTTTCTATATCATAACTCAATTATATTTCATCTGTTATAATTTTTATCTGATTAAAAAGCTTTTATTCGTGATACATTTAATTTTATTTTAACTCTATCTATAATAACTATTATTCAATAAATTATAACTTTACATTTTTCTTTTTTTTTTATTTTGTAATAATTTTATTTTTTTATACACTTCTCGTTGATTTTTAAGGCATACTTTACTATTTACAATAATAATGCCGTATATATGTCCGTCTGAAGCCTTTAATTGAAATTAATGCATTTGATGTACGATTCTTCGCGTATAAAAATTATTACGTCTTGTATTGCTTTTTAATTTATTCGAATTTTAAGTGAATTTCAAGGTCTTTAAAATTAAGTGCGTTAAATAGGTGAACAATTATCATTACATTTTATATATTTGTTACGCAAATATGCGAATTCTTTACGCATTGTTTACGCAACATTTAAGCGTTGTTTACAAATCATTAACACATCATCAACACACTATTAACACACTATTAACACAAGGCTCGTGTGTTCACACAGGCATACGGGATTGTATGGAAGGCAGTAGACCGGCGGTGTGGTGAGGTGGTCGCTGTTTAGATCACACATTATTAACACATCATTAACACACTATTAACACAAGACTCATGTGTTCACACAGGCATACGGGATTGTATGGAAGGCAGTAGACCGGCGCTGTGGGGAGGTGGTCGCTGTTAAGATCACACATTATTAACACATCATTAACACAAGGCTCATGTGTTCACACAGGCATACGGGATTGTATGGAAGGCAGTAGACCGGCGGTGTGGTGAGGTGGTCGCTGTTAAGAAAATCTTCGACGCGTTCCGCAACGAGACGGACGCCCAGCGAACCTTCAGGGAGATCGTCTTCCTGCTCGAGTTCTCTGCGCACCCTAACGTCATCAGGCTCCTTAATGTCCTTAAGGCGGACAATAATAAGGATATCTACCTGGTCTTCCAGCACATGGGTCAGTAGATCAGGTAGATGGTAGATGTTATATCTACCTGGTCTTCCAGCACATGGGTCAGTAGGTCAGGTAGATGGTAGATGTTAATGGTAGATATTAACGGTACATGGTAGATATTAACGGTACATGGTAGATATTAACGGTACATGGTAGATATTAACGGTACATGGTAGATATTAACGGTACATGGTTGATAATAACTGTAGATAGTTAATTGATAATAATGGTAAATGGGAGATGATAACGGTACATGGTAGATATTAAGGGATACCTACATGGTTGATAATACCGGTAGATGGCAGATATTAACGGTAGATGGTAGATATTAACGATAGATGGTTGATATCAACGGTAGATGGTTGATAGTAACGGTAGATGGTAAACAAGAAGATGGTATAAATGGCGCGGTCTCTTTTCTTATCTCTGTACAGAGACCCACTAATGACGCCCTTATCTCTGTACAGAGAACCACTAAAAATAATGGCGCCCTTATCTCTGTACAGAGACCCACTAATGGCGCCCTTATCTCTGAACAGAGACCCCACTAATGGCGCCCTTATCTCTGTACAGAGACCCCACTAATGGCGCCCTTATCTCTGTACAGAGACCCCACTAATGGCGCCCTTATCTCTGAACAGAGACCCACTAATGACGCCCTTATATCTGTACAGAGACCCACTAATGACGCCCTTATATCTGTACAGAGACCCACTAATGGCGCCCTTATCTCTGAACAGAGACCCCACTAATGGCGCCCTTATCTCTGTACAGAGACAGACCTGCACAATGTGATCAAGAAGGGCACTGTACTGGAGGACGTACACCGCAGGTACATAATGTACCAGATGTTCAGAGCCACCAAGTACCTGCACACGGGCTCTGTCATCCACAGAGACCTCAAGGTAGGAATAGCATTGTGTACAGAGACCTCATAAGGTAGGAATGGTATTGTGTACAGAGACCTCAAGGTACCCCCGTAGCAATAGCATAGTGTACAGAGTCTTCAAGGTACCCCCGTAGCAATAGTATTGTGTGCAGAGACCTCAAGGTACCCCCGTAGCAATAGCATAGTGTACAGAGACCTCAAGGTACCCCCGTAGCAATAGCATTGTGTACAGAGACCTCTAGGTACCTCCGTAGCAATAGCTTTGTGTACAGAGACCTCAAGGTACCCCCGTAAGAATAGCATTGTGTGCAGACACCTCAAGGTACCTCCGTAGGAATAACATTGTGTGCTTCCCTGGTATATTCCTGAATCTTAGTATAATATAATATTGTATAATTTCTTCATATATAATTTCTATAAATTGTAATTGTACTATAATTGTTCTAAATCACGATTATAAAACAAAATAAATAAAGTATCAATGTTTATAATTATTATAAATTGAATTGCCGGGCAGCCGTTCACCTTTGTTTACATTAATGTTATTTAATATCTATTTATTATAATTATATACGTACATTTACGTTATATAATTTATGTGTATTATAATTGTATGCATACATTAATGTTATATAATTTCTATGTATAATAATTATAATGCAGTTTGAACAAATTACATATATGCCATAACTATAAAAATGCACCAATAATACGTGCAGCCGTCGAACATCCTCATCGACAGCGACTGTCGGGTCAAAGTGGCGGACTTCGGGCTGGCCCGCAGCGTGGGGCCCGCCGCAGGACTGGACCGGCCCGGTGACCCGACCCTCACCAACTACGTGGCGACCCGCTGGTATCGGGCCCCAGAGATACTGCTTAACTCTAGGAGGTGAGGGCCGGTCCCGGGCCCAGTGATGGTGCCGGTCCCGGGCCCAGTGATGGTGCTGGTCCCGGGCCCAGTGATAGTGCTGGTCCCGGGCCCAGTGAAAGTGCTGGTCCCGGGCCCAGTGATAGTGCTGGTCCCGGGCCCAGTGATAGTGCTGGTCCCGGGCCCAGTGATAGTGCTGGTCCCGGGCCCACTGATAGTGCTGGTCCCGGGCCCAGTGATAGTGCTGGTCCCGGGCCCACTGATGGTGCCGGTTCCGGGCCCAGTGATGGTGCTGGTCCCGGGCCCACTGATGGTGCCGGTCCCGGGCCCAGTGATGGTGCTGGTCCCGGGCCCAATGATAGTGCTGGTCCCGGGCCCAATGATAGTGCTGGTCCCGGGTCCAGTGATGGTGCTGGTCCCGGGCCCAGTGATGGTGCTGGTCCCGGGCCCAGTGATGGTGCTGGTCCCGGGCCCAATGATAGTGCTGGTCCCGGGCCCAATGATAGTGCTGGTCCCGGGCCCAGTGATGGTGCTGGTCCCGGGCCCAGTGATGGTGATGGTCCCGGGCCCAGTGATAGTGCTGGTCCCGGGCCCAGTGATAGTGCTGGTCCCGGGCCCAGTGTTAGTGCCGGTAAATATTAACCAAATAGTGCCCGCCTCTCCCCACCAGTTGAACCCCCCTCCCCCCACCAGTTGAACCCCCCTCCCCCACAGGTACACGCTGGGGGTTGACATGTGGAGCCTGGGGTGCATCCTGGCGGAGATGTTGTTGGGTCGTCCGCTCTTCCCAGGGTCGTCGACCCTCGACCAGATCGAGAGGATCATGGCTGTCATCGAGCCCCCCTCCAGGGAAGGTGAGATCCGGGGGGTGCGGGACAAACTAGTCCCCCAGCGAAGTCCCAACTACAGGACGTAGGACAAACTAGTCCCCTAGCGGGGTCCCGACTGAGAGGTGCAGGACAAACTAGTCCCCCAGCGAGGTCCTGACTGAGGCCCGCAGGACAAACTAGTCCCCCAGCGGGGTCCCGACTGAGGGCCGCAGGACAAACTAGTCCCCCAGCGGGGTCCCGACTGAGAGGTGCAGGACAAACTAGTCCCCCAGCGAGGTCCTGACTGAGAGGTGCAGGACAAACTAGTCCCCCAGCGAGGTCCTAACTGAGGCCCGCAGGACAAACTAGTCCCCCAGCGGGGTCCCGACTGAGGGCCGCAGGACAAACTAGTCCCCCAGCGAGGTCCCAACTGAGGGCGCAGGACAAACTAGTCCCCCAGCGAGGTCCCAACTGAGGACTGCAGGACAAACTAGTCCCCCAGCGAGGTCCCGACTGATGGACGCAGGACAAACTAGTCCCCCAGTGGGGTCCCGACTGAGAGGTGCAGGACAAACTAGTCCCCCAGCGTAATCGGAGTGGTCGAGTGGCTTTTGGATCTAAACGAACCCTTAATTTTTTTTAAACCTTTGTCAATGATATTTCTCTTGCTGTAATTGTTTTAAGAAATAACATTGTTTAATAAAATTGATATTGTTACAGACCTGCTGCAGATCCCCGCCCAGTACGTGAACACAATACTGACGAAGGCACAGCAAGACGAGGCTCCGGACGAGGGGCCTGCGCCCCACGTCCCCCAGCTTCGGGACCTCCTAGCAGGGGCGCCCACGGAGGCCGTCGACCTCGTCGAAAAGCTCCTCGTCTTCAACCCCGACAAGAGACTGACTGCTGAACAGGCTCTTCGTCACCCCTTCGTCGCCAAGTGAGTAGTGACTTAGTAGCTCTTCGTCACCCCTTCGTCGCCAAGTGAGTAGTGACTTAGTAGCTCTTCGTCACCCCTTCGCCGCCAAGTGAGTAGTGACTTAGTAGCTCTTCGTCACCCCTTCGTCGCCAAGTGAGTAGTGACTCCCTCCGTTCGAAAATTCCACCACGAAATTTATGCTTTCCTTTTCCTCAATCTATAAATTAGTTAGTTAAATTTAAATTCAATATTTATTAACTATAAGATTCCCACTACGATAGTTATGTCATACCGAACCCAAACACGGTAGAGGAATCGTTATAACGTTAGCGATCCTAAACTCCAATTTTTCTTTATTTTGAAGATTCCACAACGCGGACCACGAGCCGAGCATGGATCGCGCGGTCGTCCCATGCATCAGGGACGATGTTCAACTCAGCGTTGAAGTTTACAGGAACAAACTCTACGAACTCATCGCGTCGCGGAAGAACAGAGTAAGGAACCACGTAGCCCGCGTCGCTCAGCACAAACAGAACAATAACCTCAAAGATGATCGAAACTCTAAGAACGAAAAGATTGATCGGGACAGCAGAATTATGACGACCCACAGTAATGGCGTCGTTAGACAGAGGAGTTCTTCTAAGATTGAGGCCATTCATTACGGTCATAACAGAAACCGTAACGATGATCCTTTAACGCGTAACCAAACAGACGGTGGTGGTAACGGTCACGAGTATCATGAAGGTACTCGAGGTGGGAGGGTACGTTCCAGCAGCGTCAGTACCCCACTCCAGAGATCGTATTCTGTTACTAGAGGACACCCATTGGAGGACGGGCTGCAGGCCTCTGGCATGAGCCAATCTTATTGTAATGGAGTTTCTGGATCAAACCTCAAGAATTCTGATAGAGAAGTGAGCCCAATTAGAGCGCTGCAAAATGGAAGTCCTCCAGACCTGCGGTGTAACGGCCATGTAAGTAATCAGAATCATTCCCAAGGCAACCATAAAGGCAGCAACGTGAACTCCCAAGCGAGACATGAGGTTTCCCCTGCGACCTCGAACCCAAACTCGGCAGACATGAACCAAAACTCGGCAAACATAAAATATTCTAGCTCGTCTGGCTCTGCAATGAAAGTTCGGGTCATTGCCAGAACCATCGACCACGGAAGAGGATCAACCGACAACGGAAGAGGATCAACCGACCACGGAAGAGGATCAACCGACCACGGAAGAGGATCAACCGACCACGGAAGAGGATCAACCGACCACGGAAGAGGATCAACCGATAACGGAAGAGGATCAACCGACCACGGAAGAGGATCAACCGACAGCGGAAAAGGGTCTAAGTCTCTCGAAAATCGCTGTCCCCAGAAAGCGCATTCGGTTGGTCGCAACCGGGAAAGTACCAGCTCATCTTCCAACAACAACCATCACCCTCACCAGCGGCGGGAAGAAGCTGGTGCCGACGAAGGACGTCCCAAGGACCGCTCGTCGCCGGAGAAACAAACCCCGACGTGTAACTCAGGGAAGTCCTGGTCCTCGGGGGGCAGTGGTGGGAGGCCGTCGGATCTTTCGAGAGGCCGAAGAGAAGGTGGGTGATTTTCTGGGATTTTTTTTGTGTGAACTACGTTATTCGAATGAGTTTTTGCCTTTTTTCTGCGTGAGTAATATGTTGAATGGTTTCAATGCCCGCACTTGAAGAATCTGATGAAAGATTTTTATGCGTAATCCTTTGAGTGTGAATGGTTTTAGTTGAACGGTTTTCTGAATTTCAAAAATATTAATTGTTTGTTCCTTGAATATTTTGGTATTCGTTTGTTTTTAGTGCAGGAAATATTATATACTTTCACCTTCAAACTAATTTAAATAAATTAGCTTAACGAAACTTGCACTGTGTTACATGAATAAGTTTTCTGAAAATCATAAAATGAGTGCCACACTAATTACTGTTTTGAACATCAAATACTGTTTGCTATAATACCATGTGTTATTAACATTATTATGCATGAATCAATCACCATGATTTATTTCTAAACTCTCTGCTGCCGGTAACCATTTTACCATGAAAAGGCATTGGATTCATTAACGATGTAAGATTTGCATCCCGTTTTTTAGAAAATAACAGAAATCAAAACGATTGTTCCCGTGTATTTGCTCATAATTCACGGGGAAATAACACAACACAGACAACTTATAAATTCAAATGCTTTTGACGTGTATTCGATATGTATTGGTTGCGGTTGGCTAGTTCAGCTCTAGAATCCTACCTTGCATATGGACCTCCAGGATCATCTAAGGATCAGCCGTCCTCAGTGGCTGTTGCCAGCTGTGGGGGAGTAACCGTGACCGTGGCACAGAACTCTAGCTGTCAACTCCCTCGCAGTTCAAGCAACAGAACCATCCATGGTACCGATACTTGTAGTGATACAAGTCCTACCATGACCAGAAACGACGTACCTTCCAAATCTGGAGTGATATCGTGTAACTCTCGAAGTGGTTACGAAGTTACCAATCAGTGGGACCAAAGGAGTAGTGGTAGTGTGATCTACCACTCGAAACCTGATAAGCCTCGACCTGACTCAGTGGTGGTTGTGCACAACCGACGCAGATCTACAGGTTTGGATTACGATTCTTTTATTTACGCTGCTAACAAGTCTCCATCAAAGACGGCGGCACATTCACCAACCTCACCAATATCACCATCACGCAAATTTCAAGGGCTTAGCGTCGATGACAAAGCACATTTTGTGGAACCTAAGCACCAACCTGTTCCACCATCGGACCACTCCAGGCTTGCACCACACGGCCAAGAGACAACCACCTTTTTGTCTCACTCCCGCCATGACAAGCGTTGGTCCCTGGACCACCATCGCAATCCGCAAATGAAAGCCAGTCACGGCTCACCATATGATGTGAATAATGATCACCACTATCCTAGTACCTCTGACACCACTGCAACCACCATTTGTGTACCTAGCACTAGTGTAGCTACCAGTTGTGATGTACTAGGAGCTCCGGGATACTCGAGGACTCCTTCAACCCTCCTCCCAGCGTCGGCTGTCCGTCACCAAGTAAGAAATAGTACTCGAACAAGTGCAAGTATAGTTTCTAGTGGATTTTAGTTTCACTTAGTAAGGAAGAGTGTGGGAACTAGTGTAAGTCTAGTACTAAGGGTTATGGTTTTCATCAAGTTCAAACTAGTTAATTCAAGTTACTCTACTGGGTTCTGGTCTTTACCAAGTAAGGGGAGGTATTCCACCTAGTAGAAATCTAGTATTCTAGAGGTGTTCACTAGTTCCTAGGGGTCTTCAATAAAGAGGATTGTACAACCTAATGTAGGCTTATTTAATAGTGGGTTGTGGTGTTTACCAAGTAAGTAAGGTGTTCAAACTAGTAATAGTCTTATCACAGAGGGGACTCTTCCCAACTGCCTATTGCATGGTAGCTACTGCACAATGGTACCTGCCTGTTGCATGGTAGCTACTGCACAATGGTGCCTGCCTGTTGCATGGTAGCTACTGCACAATGGTGCCTGCCTGTTGCATGGTAGCTGCTGCACAATGGACTGCCTGTTGCATGGTAGCTGCCGCACAATGGTGCCTGCCTGTTGCATGGTAGCTGCCGCACAATGGTACCTGTCTATTCTCATTGGTGCCTGTCGTAACCTTTAACACTTTTTTGGTTTTTGATTACGTGTATTTTCGAGTGTGTTTAAGCAATATTCTTTCTTACGCTGCTTAAATTCTGTTTTTCTTGAGTGGTTGTTTTTTAAGGTGTCTTATATGTATTTGTTGTTTATACTCAGTTTCAAATACGAGAACAATACAGCCGTTAGAGGTTGACTTTTGCAAAAACTTCTTGCACTTTGCTCCATATTTTGCTGGTATACTTTGCAGAAATAGCAAACATTTTATATACGTAAAGCAACGCATTTTTATTAAGAAGTTCATTTGAAAGCAACACTATGCATTTTTTGTTGAGAAGTTCATTTGAAAGCAAAGCTATGCATTTTTGTTAAGAAGTTCTTTTGAAAGAAAAACTATGCATTTTTAATTAAGGGGAGCGTCTATAGGTGGAAAATTGACAGTATTGGCTTTTCCGGTTTATAGTCTCATCTTAAAGCTGACATTCTGAGCTATCCAACGGTACCAAAACCATCTCTGTACGTTGATTTATGCGTTCACGACACATCCCGAAAGGGGGGGGGGTGGGGGAGTTCTTTAACAAATAAGATGGGGGGAAATTAGCTGCCGAGCACTTAAATAGAGTGTTTGCTTGAGCTGCAGTTCAGTTACCCGCCTGGTGTCGTACGGGGTGGTGTGCATGCAGTCGCTCCTACCACTCTTGACTGGAATCAAGCTCCATGTAACGTTTAGTTCCGTATCCTTGCTCTATTGAGTGCCTATTGCGATGTGCGCGGGACTTTGTCGCGCTCTCCTGAAGATATTTGTTGTCACGGCAAAGCTATCTCCTCCTAGAGTTTTGAAGCTACAGCAATGTGACATATACCATTCGATTCGCAACTCAAATATCTAGAGATTGATTGCAGCTTTTTTCAATTTCGTTATAGACCGTTCTGAAAATATTTGGAAAAGGGGGGGAGGAAGGAAAAATCGAAAAATTTTCGAAATTTTTACGAAAATTTTTTTTTTGTCCCATCCACAAAAATTCGAAATTCGGAAAAAGCTACGACAAATCGATAGATATGGTCCTTACGCATCAAATGATATGCGTCTCGATGTTGTAGCTTCAAAATCCTAGAAGATAGATTTTTATAGTACCCCCTTTTTGCCGTTTTCTAAGAATTTCACGGTTTCTTTCATTTTTTTCGAAAAATTGACACGAACAAAAAAGTCTTAGAATTCTCTTTTACATTGGTGTACCAAGTTTTAAAGTGATCCGTCCGTAAATAAAAAAGTTTTTCAGCTCATTGACGCTCCAATTAAGAAGTTCATTTGAAAGCAAAACTATTCATATTTTATTAGGAAGTTCATTTGAAAGCAAAACTATACTTTTTTATTAAGTAGTTCGTTTGAAAGAAAAAATTATTTAAATTTTGATTTTTTCACTGGTCCAGATGACGGCCGCCCAGCGACGAGGTGTCGCGCAGGCGTCGCCGCCGCGACGACGTAGCACGTCCAGAAGTCCCTCGTCAGTAGACCTTCCTGACGTGGTGGACGTGCACGGCGTCACGTCCATTAGTGGACGGTCCATCCCGGCCTTTAGGGGACAGTCCATCCCGGTCTTCGACGGACGTTTCTTTTCGGTCATCGACGTACGTCTCAGGAAAGCCGGCGCTCGCCGACCCGTTTACCATGTCCTCTCAACAAAGCTCGTCTCCGTCCCCAGCAAAAAAAGACTCCGCGAAGTTTTTCGCGTCAGACTTGAACACGGGCAACCCGCGCTCAGATTTTCACAAGAAAAGTCCATTACCCAACACTCCTGGTGACTTCCTGGACTACTACACAAGGTATTTCACCCCCATTGGAGGGGCAAATCCAGCTGGGGACAAAGATACTGTCAAAATTTGTCCCTCGTTTTCGTCACACGATGTGACGAATGCCACGTCATGGTCGTCACAGAGCCGCCGGAACAGCGATAGCTTTTCCCTGACCAAGTTCAGGAACGTGAACCACAAATTGCACGAACCAAAGCGTTCGCTGCAACACGAAATTGATTTTTTCAATCACCGCAACGTTGAATCGTGGTCCCGGACGTCCCTACACAGTGAGGGGGTCGGCGCCCCCCTCCCATACCCTGACTCTATCAGGTCGGGGGGTAAAACTCGTCAGGATATCAGTTCTTTGTTTGGGTCTTATTCTTCGTTGATGCTTCGTAATACTTCAGCTCAAAACGGGAACAAGACGCAGCTTCATCCTACTCGAGGTTCAGTGACCCCGTCGTACGAAGGCACCGCTAGTAGGCCGTGTGTGTCGCAAGCCTATGCCACAATTTCCTCTTCGGCCTATCGAGAACTCACGCAAAAAGTTAAATAGCAAACAGCCGAACCCTCTTTTCCGGACCTACCCAAAGCTCGGAAGATATCCTCTGCAGCGGACACGATAGCTTCAGGATACCTTTTCAGCGAACATAGGGGTAACCCTGATAAACTTATTCCTCCCATACCCCATAACAGCGGAACACGTGTCAGGAAATGGCGGTCCGTTGAAGGCTTCTTATCGAAAAAAGATGGAAGGTGGACGCTGGAAACTGTCTCACCCATCGCTCAATATATCTATGGATCCAAAGATCCTAATAAAGTTACGTCTTTGAAGACTAAAAGTGTCAGGAGCCGGTCACTGAGCTCAAAAGATCCTGATGAAGCGACGCCTTTGAAGACCAAAAGTGTCCGAAGACATTCTTTGAGCTCCAAATCTGCAATCGTGGACGCACTGTCTTCTTTTTGGACATCTAATTCTTTGCGTAAACTTTCTTCAAGCAACGTGACGTCACAATCCCGATGTTCAAGCAGCACTCATGCGTCACTCAACCCAATTAAATTCCAAAAAATGAGTCAAGAAAACCAAATCTCCAACACCGTCCCACAGTTCGGACATTTGGCCATACTTGAGAACTTCGATGGTTCTGATGACGAAGGCTCCTCGGTCTTCCTTCTGGACCCAAGAACCCTTCCTTCCAAGGAAGGCACTGCTGACCTTCACCGGAGGAAGTCCCGCAGTGTTGCTGATATTCTCTTCTGTGGTGATGCTGGTACAGAAGTCGTCAATTAATCCTATTTTGTGGATGCAAATACAAAGATCAAAGTGGCACTCTGAGAAATTAGTGAAACTTTTTCCAAATAGTGACGCGAGGGTGCACTTCAAGCCCGGCCGAGGCGGACATGAGCGGCTGATTTACGCGCTCCCCGAGTCTTGGGCGGCACCTGATGCAGAGTCAAGCCCGCATCTAAATTTTGTTAAATTACTTTGTACTTAGGCGTACATGGTTCGTACAAGTACGTTGTACTGATATTGAGTTAAGCTGCAGAAAATAGCAGATGTCGTGCTAGGAATTATTTAAGCTTTAAGTTATAATCACATCATGACGCATAGTACTTAGTTCAGATCAAAGTTTTTCACTTAATACATAAGTTTTGCGGTACTTTAATTGGCTAATAATAACGCAAAATCACATTTGCAAGTTTTGTGATGCATATATGATGAAAAAATGCACTACAGTTGGAGGTGGTAGAGAGGGGGGGGGTCGTTGGTGGAGGGCTGGGGGGCGTTATCGATTAAATAGGGGGCAATTCGCCCGCCTATTCTCAAACTAGCAATCTTAACAATAGTCTTCAATTATATGTTATTGTAATAATTGTATTCATCACATGACAATAATTCGTGCGTGTTATGTATCTAATACTCGACTTATATATTTATTTAGCGTGTTTATAGGTTTATTTATAAAACAATATTCCAGCAATAATTTATTAATTATAATATTATTTGTCTTTCGTCTCTAGTCATGAACAACGTATAATATTTATGACGATAATAATAACAATATTAATATTCCTTCACTGTTCTCATTAAATACGTTAATGTGTCTATACTAATAACACGAACAGTTAATGAGATTCTCGCTGATCTTAGTTATTAGTTATGGTTATTAATCAACCTCAATTAATCTCATTAGTTATTTATTTAATAAATAGTTAATATGCAACGAAGGGCACTATAGAATAAACAATAGTTTATTCTAGTCACGCAGCGATTACGTATCTATATTATACGTATACGTAGAATGTATACGTAGTAAGTAGGCTCATACACGAATGTTAGGATATACGTGTATATTACACAGACGTCCGTGTGAATTTCATACACCAATAATACAATACATGATCACTACATAATAATACTAATACATAATAATACATGATGCAATACAAGAACACTAATACAAAAATAGTAATACAGAAGCATCCCTATAAAGCGGTTGTCTGTATAATACATCTCTATATTATCTATACTCTGTATTTATTTATTCTATAATAATATCTTCATTTCACTCACGTAAATTTTCATACGCTTCCCCTTCAACACTCAGGGAAATAAGTGGGACTTTGCCTATATGAATTAATTAATTAAATAGGGATGCACATTTTGTCCTATTTTGGGTCATCTTGCACCAGTTTGACCCGGCAAATGGGCTTATATCGTTGCATCATTACGAAAATTGAAATTAAATTTTCAATTGAATTTTCAATTGAATTTGAATTTTCAATTGAAATTGAATTGAAAATTACGTTGAAAATTCCGTCCCATGCATTTTTTTGAGTGGAAATTTATGTCCAAGAAATTTTTAGTTCTCCATTCGTCAAGATTTCGTAGCGCATGATTTTTCTACGTAAAATTCATCATCTTTTCCATTAGTGCAAAAAATATTGTATACGAAAAGCGTGTAGAACTTTTATGTGATCAACTTTTATTTATTGGAAAATTATTTTTGTTAACGATTATTATTTGCATTAACGAGGCCGTCCTAATGTTGTAAAAAAGAATAATTATTCTACATTTAAAGTTGCTGATAATAATATTTGGGATCAAACAACATCAATTAATAAACAAATAAATATAATTAGAAATTTTGTTTCCAACTGATTGATTGAGTGATTCTTCAGTAGTTATTATAATGTACATTCGTCAGCATATTTAAATTTATCTATACCTTGACGTAGCATTGCAATGCTCAATTTATAGAACATTTTAGTGTACTATATGTTTCAGTGTACTATATATGTTTCACAGAGTGTTCATTTCACAGTAAATTTTGCAGTATACTATAACATTTAACCGTATACCTTAAATGTAATATACTACACATTTCACACTGTACCATATATTTTGCAAGTAAGTTGAGTTGCGCTGAAATTTTGCTAGTGCGTTGAGTTGCGCTGAAATTTTGCTAGTGCGTTGAGTTGCGCTGAAATTTTGCAAGTACGTTGAGTTGCGTTGAAATTTTGCATGTACGATGAGTTGCGTTGAAATTTTGCAAATTTTGCAAGTACGTTGAGTTGCGTTGAAATTTTGCAAGTACGTTGAGTTTCGTTGAAATTTTGCAAGTACGTTGAGTTGCGTTGAAATTTTGCATGTACGATGAGTTGTTAATGACAAATTTTATTGATAAAATTTCGGAAGTGTGACGCTTGTGTCAGTTTAATATTCACAAGAGCGGGGACTCTATGCACGTTTACAAATACTTAAACTCGGCCATTTTCTCCGAAAAAATACATTAGTAGTCAGTTAGTCTTCTTGTTAATTTTGATCTCGATTAGAAAAAATTCTGTATTGTAGTAAAAATTACTCCTACAATCCACGTGCCTTTGCTGAACACTTATATTGTTACCTGCATATGTAAAATAAGGACCTTCTCTGCATTATTCATTGCAATGATCTCACGTGTTTTATAATTAGTTTAAATAAATAATGTTATGAAAGATTGATCTTTTATTTGCATTCGTTAAATTGATTGATTTGGAACTAAACTGTACGTCCAAAATCCTAAATAAAAACCTAACCTTTAAACATTTAATGCTACGTCATTTGTAAATTGATTTGTGTCAATGATTACCGCAATACTTGGACGGTGCTTAATTATTACCCTAATTGCATATTAAAAGCGACTCATATACTTGTATTATTTATTGAACCGGTCATTTTCGCCCATATTGACGTATGAACAACCGGTAATTTAAATGAGACGATTATGAACTAGATAAGAAATATTAGGTTTACCGTGAAATATTTTCTAAAATAGAACATTATTCACATTGCAATTACTTGAATTTATCATATGTTTTATAGATAAAGCTGCCATGAGATAAAATGAATGAATTGTTCCTCGACGAATAGAATATACCACGATTAAACGAAAGTAAGTAACCATGCATATAACAACATTTGACCATTTGTTGTTAATATTCCACCCAAACTTACATTACTACTTAAATTTTTTCTTTTTTAAAAATGGTGAAAAATGTCTTATGAACTTGGAATGACCACGGTATAGGGTAAATTTATTTCCGTAGACTTACATTTACCCCGGAAATTTTGTTGTTGCTGAACATTATTTACTGTTGGAACCTGCTGTGTTGTGTTGATGAGAACAATGAATGAATTAAGATAAAAAATTGACATTTTTGATCATCCATGGTAACGCGTCAGCTTTTTATTCTACGCATGAAATAAAACAGATGATCACGAATGATATGCTTCAAAGTTATATCAATTTAAAATGATTCTACACTGATAAGTTAGTCAAAGTCATATTGTTTCTATGAGGAGTTGAGGCCTAGCCAAGTCCAGCTGCCAAAGGAGAAATCATGGCTCAGGATGTTATTTATTGTTTATGTGGTCAATCTTCAGACCTATCACGGTTCATGATACAATGCGACATTTGCAAGGATTGGTTTCACGGAAGGTAAGTTTTGTTTCTCAAAATGCATGTAGGGTAAACGCAACACATAGTGGCAAAGCAGAGAGTTTTTTAGACTCTCTCTCAAGTTCATTTTTGAGTCCTATAAGTAGACCAGCATGGTGGCAGGGAATTATTGTGAGTACTTATGCGTTTGCAAGAGCATCGACCGGTCCGGCTCAGCGGGGGGGAATTGCAACTTGCAACAGGGGCCCAAGGGCCAAGGGCATGGGGCCTTGCGAAGGGTTAAGACCGCGGACCGCCGCACGGCGGTGGACCGACATAAGTACCTCTCTTCATAGACTTCCACTATGTGCAGGCACGTGTTACCCCACATAACTAATTTTACCCTAAAAACAGTCTGACCGCTCTAATGTGACCGAAACTACACAATCGAAAAAACGTTGTTTACATTTTTTGTGGGAACTCATCGCAACTGATTTCCGGACAAGCTTTGCTGCATCGTAATCCACCCAATGTACCGGAAACCTTACTTTTTTTCTAAATAGTTGGCCGAAGACTGAGAAATATATTAAATGCAAGAATTTCAATCTAAATGTGTTGGCAAGATCTTCTGAAGGCAAAAATTTGGCTACTGAAGCGTCGCCAAAGATCTTGCTATATTCATCCACTCTCTGCACAGTGGTTGTCACCCAGTGAGACTGAGGTCTGAGGACATCGAAAAATGTGTCAAACTTGATAGTTGACCTTGCTCTACCAAATACTGAAATAGTGATAAACTGTTTGTGTAGAAAGAATATTATGGTTTGATACTTTTAAATAAGTCTGTGAATATATTAGGAATCCTTTAAGTATACTTGTTTCATCATTGCTGGCGCATAGTATGGTGTTTTGAGAGTGACGTAAAGTAAAGCAATCAGAACTCGAATCGCACATACGGTGATCTTTTTATAGCTATTCATTTCTTGCTAAGCCCTAAAAGTGTCAGAATATGGTGTGTTTACCCTATAGCCTAGTATCAGATTATTTATCAAGTTTATATTGTGATCGTGATGGCACCTACTGACACTTAGTATCAGTAAATGAAAACTTTTATTAGACCTAATTTAGAGTATCAGATAGAGTATCTCTGGCAATCTTTATGTCTGTCACAGGGCTTGAAAAGTCCTACTTTTTTCTGAAATATCCCAGATACTCTAATATCAAAGAATTTCAGTAGGTATGAAATCTTGTGGCTCTAATGACAAGTATTTTTGTTAGATTGAAAAATCATGGTTTGCAACTTTGCAAACATGTAATTTCATAAAATTTTCAGCTTCCCTAATGATGGCACATTCAAATGTTTCAGCCATAATATCCTGCAAAACGTAATAACAAGTTAGGTTAGGTTAAACAACAAGTCAACCCAAAACATTTCCTTGAAGATCACATACGGTAGCTGCTGTCACATCAGAGCGGTCAGACTGCATTATCTGTTATATGTTCAGTTGCCACTGAAGTGAAGCCAAATGTTAAATTTGCTGTTCCACTATTTTAGAGTTACATTAGAGATTTGGGATAACATGTGCATGGACTTTGTAAATATGTTTGTGGCCTGTTAATGTTTTTTCATGGCTGAGATACGGAATTCATGGCTTGAAGAAATGGAATCACGGCTAGCAAATCCATAGAACTATGGAAAAATTCAGTCATGTTTTGCCAAGGGTCCAAGTAGATATACCCCATGCCTGCTTCAAGATGCATTGCCAGCACAAAAAATCCATCAATAAACGTATTTGGCTACAACTGTCTGCCTTTTTCATCAAGATATGTTTGGGGCTATGAAATTGGTGTCATCAATTGATGTTTAGCAATTCTTTACTGCCCAGTTGCCCATGGTTGATTTTGAACTCATATGGATGTCAGTTTAAGGTCAAGATGGCTTCATGGAAAGCTTGAAAGGAAGCCAATACCGTCAACTGGGGTGACTTTAGCCGCCGGGATGACTTCGGCCGCGTTTTTGATTTTGTTTTGCAAACAAAAGCGGGGTTGTAAATGATGGCCAAAGTCACTCTGGCATTCATGACCTCGTTTACAACCCTGGTGTTTATGACCCCATTTTTTGTTTGCAAAGCAAAATCAAAAATGCAGCCGATGTCACCCCAGCAACCGAAGTCACCCCAGTTGACGGTATCGAAATCTAATTAAATAAGAATTAGAGGAAAAATGAACAGCTTGTCTCCCAACTCAACCTTAACTTCTTGGGCATCTGTGTATCTGTTTGGTGATAACTTGCTAGAACATTTATTTGCTTTGTTGTCAGCAAGGTATGCTTACGTTTTCATTTATCTAAATAATATTTATAGTGAGTTCTTGATTTAATCAAATTTAATTCTAATTATTCTAATCAATTTATCAGAATGCCAACTTTAGGACAGACTTTTACTCCTGTTCAATTTTTATTTTTTCATCTCCTTCATAGCTTCATTCAATACCGTCAAACGGGGTAAAAAGGGATGGATTTGAGCGTTTTTTGTTAATAACTTCTTACCATGAAACATTTCAGAAACAAGTTTAGGCTCATTTTGTAGCTCTTTGCGACGGCTATCTAATGGCATCTTAAAAAAATTCCATATGCTATTTGCAAGGTGCTAGACGCAAAATAAAACCCTCCCGATTTACCCCTCAAAACGGGGTAATCCGGGACACTTGCAATAAAAGTTAATTTTAAAATGTTTGAAGCATGCAGAGTGTACTCATCCATTACTAACAGTACTTTGAAGTCCTCCTCTTTCATTGTAGATGATGTAGATGTAAAATAAATGACATTTACTGTGATTTTTACTAATTTTTCCTTTATTGATACTATATTACCATATTCATTAATTACCGTATTATTAATGTGATATTACTGTATCCATGGACATGCCATTGAGCATTGACAACAACCTTGTCCACTGCCAGCTTCATATCAGCAGCCATGTAGCATTTCTTCTGTATCTGTAAGCTTACAGGATGGTTTGTAATTTCGCACAATTTTAATTGAGTCAAGTGATTTCACTATAACAAAAAAGATTGTGAAAAACATACCTGAAACAGAAAATAATGTTTTAGTAACAACCATCATATGTTTTGGAGAAATAAATCATAGTTTAGGTCAATTACTTTTCATTCTATGATGCCCGGTGCACAATTCAATATATAGCTTTCTATGTACAATTTTGTGATGACCATTGATGCACTAATTTTTTGATAAGTGATTTTTTTTTCACTGAGCAAGGTAAATGTAAACAAAATTCTTTGTTGTTAATCAACTTTTTTGTTAACTGGAACCTTTGCTAACTGAGGTTCTACTGTAAATGCATTTTTAAGGGTGTCCCTAATTACTACCCCGAGGGGGTGTTCTGAGTAGCCCCGCAGTGCGGAAATGGCTGCCATTTTTTTTGGAATGAGATAGGCAAATGCCGTCAATAACGTTTTCAAGCCGACACCTGGGTGCAACTTTAATGTAAGTAAATTTTTTTTAATATTGGTTTGCTCCAGACCTTAGCAGAGGTACTTTTCCAAAATCGCACTTTTCACACTTTTTTCAGCGATTTTTTAGAGATAGTAAATTTTTTATTTCTTGACTAGCTTTATACATAATAGATAGTAAAAATGTTGAGGTTTATGCCACTATTTTTAGTTTTGCAATATTTTGATTGGTTTAGCTGCTACAACATTTCTACGAAATGTCGGAGGCGCGTCCCGATTTACCCCGCCCGTCCCTTTTTACCCCGTTTGACGGTATATTATCTTACATATCTACAGCTCTAATTTTATTTTATATTATGCTATTTATACTTTTTTATATACATGTACATTATATTTATTCTTATGAGCAGATGTGTGGGAGTGCGGGAGTACCAGGCTGTTGACATCGACAGATTTCACTGTCCAAGATGTGAGCCGTACCACGGACCTTCTGTGTGTAAGTACCACGGACCTTCTGTGTGTAAGTACCGTACCACGGACCTTCTGTGTGTAAGTACAACAGACCTTCTGTGTGTAAGTACCACAGACCTTCTGTGTGTAAGTACCACGGACCTTCTGTTCTGTATGTAAGTACCACGGACCTTCTGTGTGTAAGTACCACGGACCATCTGTGTGTAAGTACCACGGACCTTCTGTGTGTAAGTACCACGGACCTTCTGTGCGTAAGTTCCACATACCATGGACCTTCTGTGTGTAAGTACCACGTACCACGGACCTTCTGTGTGTAAGTACCACGGACTTTATGAGTGTAAGTGCCACATACCATGCACTCTCTGTGTGTAAGTACCTTCCATACCAGCCAAGGGTGGAATTGTACTCCAAACTATAATTAATTTTCTAATAAAGCTGCACCAAATTGGCTTGGATGTTCTAATGTGAAGTCTCCAACATTCTTCCAGCTGTCGCCTCATGGAACAACCATTAAATTGGATCTTTTAAATATTTGCAAGTCGCCCAGATTTAAAAGGTACCATAATATAGCAGGATTAGAGACCTAAAGACAGCACGTAAGTGAATACAATGTACAATAACATTGCTATATCTTGTTTAGAGCTTCTCTGATAACTTAACTATTGAATAATTTTTTTAAATTCTTGTCCGAACACACCAGGCACAAAATTTTCTGTTTGGCTACGAATAGTTGTTTGGTGATGATGGTTGTGATTATCATTAATATTCCAAGCAAATTTCAACCTATTCAACATCAATTTTTATGTGGAATTTCAGCCCAGTTGAGCCATTACACCAGGCCAGTTACATGCATGAAGGTGTCCAATATACTCCTTACAAAGTCTATGTTTCAGCAAGCACCAATCAATACAAAATGTGAAAATAAACTTTTTATTAAAACAAAATGTGTGTTCTAGGGTAATTTATTTACCCTACCCTGCCTCCTTGGCAATGTTATATCAAGGTAATTAAGGAAGGAATGATTTGGCTGCGTGCATGTATAAAAGTATTCTGTATCTAAAGCTTTTATTGTGTTGAAACCCTTCAGTATGAATGGTTAAATCTAGTGTAAACTGTGCAAAAAGTGGTGAAATTGATTATTTAAAATTGAATTTGCAGTGAAAGCAAGACTGAACTGGCATCGGCACGACTACTCCGAGGCTGACGCAGCCAACAAAGCCGTCCAGACGGGCACTCAAGTCTTTATAAAGGAGCTCAGAGGACGACACTTTCACAAGTAACTTATTTAATTAATAAAGTAACTTATTCAATTTTCACAAGTAACTTATTTAATTAAATACCTACTAAAAAGTCTATAAGATATTTCGATTTTTCAGCTAAACTACAGTCAAAACTTCACTGTCATAAGTGCTACATTATTCTCCAATTGCTAACTGATTCCATGATTTTTTATTTATTGTTGAAATAAGTCAAAACCAAAAATAATTTCATTGTGTTGAAAACTTTAATTTTTACTGTATCATGAATGTGTACAAATTTTAACACAAAAGCTAAATGCTACATGAATTTAGAAAAAAATGTGAAAGAATTCAAAAGTTGAGGAGCATCGCAGACTACAAATAGTATAATTTTCACTTTCTTAAAATAAATACAATGATTTCATTAAGATTTTATAATGCTTATAACATTTGTTTCAAATAATTTTTTGTATTGTCTAAAAATGTTGATATTTTTAAAAATTAATTATGTATTGTATAAATTATTATTTCTAAAATAAGTAATCTTAGCTTTATCATCTAATAACCTAATTACTAATTTGATAAATGGAATAAATATCTTTTCCCAGTGGGGAGAAGGTGATCACTCGGTTACAAGGCTCAGATCTGACCCTGGGGTTCATTGCTGGGGAGGAGGGCTGCGGAGGCTTGGAGAAAACTCCATGTGCTGATGGAGCAGAAGCTGCCGTGTCCTGCGGCAATTTTAACCAGCCGATCCTGGTGTCGGATAAAGCAGGACTAGACCTTGTCATCCCACACCCCTCCTTCTCTGTGGTCGATGTCGAGAATTATGTTGGTGAGTGCATGTTTGATGTTACATTATGTTGGTGAGTGCATGTTTGTTATTACATTATGTTGGTGAGTGCATGTTTGTTATTACATTATGTTGGTGAGAACAGATATGCTGTGTTACATTCCGAGTACTAAAAAGCTGTTGAGTTTGCAGTTAGTACAAAAATATTAAAGAGTTGGGAATTGTTATTTACAAGGAATGTTGGAGAGTTTGCAGTTGGTGAATACATGAATGTTGTTGGATACTATAATGTTAAGCCATTAAGATCATAAATAAGACAGGTTTTATGTCACAGGTTCAGATCATGAAGTTGACGTTATTGACGTACAGCGGCAGACGGACGTAAAGATGCGTCTGCACGAATTTATTGAATATTTCCTGAGTCCTGCACGCACGACAGTTCTCAACCTCATCAGCCTTGAGTTCTCCAATACAGGGTGAGAACACCGCTGTTGTACCCTTACTTTCTTTATAATAACTTATGTATTTAGCATTGTGACCTTCATTTAAGAATTTAAAATTTTGAATTAATAATTAACATCGTGTATTTAATTGAAGCTCTTCATTTAAGCATCTTCCATAGTGTCTTTTTGCAAATAGGTATTGGTATATATATATATATATATATGTTTGCGTCAGATAATAAGATATTCAATTGAGGTCTAGCATATTGATTGTACAGAGCTTAGGGCAAGAAAAATGTTTGTTTTCTAATTTTGTCTGAGTTTTCTTATTATTTTCTAAATTTTATGTATAACTGAAATAATGTTTGTATATTTGCTTCTGCACAGTTCTAACACATCATACAAACACAATGTACCACCAGCATATCAAAATATTGTACCAATACAGCACACCCACGCACTGTACACAGCATACAAAATCAGTGTGTTAACACAGACTAACATTGAACTGCCTTTAGGTTAAGCCAGCTTGTTGAGCCCTTAACCCTTCACTACCCGCAGGTTCTTAACCCTTCACTACCCGCAGGTTCTTAACCCTTCACTACCCGCAGGTTCTTAACCCTTCACCACCCGCAGGTTCTTAACCCTTCACCACCCGCAGGTTCTTAACCCTTCACCACCCGCAGGTTCTTAACCCTTCACCCCCGCAGGTTCTTAACCCTTCACCACCCNGGGCTGTCTCTTATACACATCTAGATGTGTATAAGAGACAGCTTCACCCCCGCAGGTTCTTAACCCTTCACCACCGCAGGTTCTTAACCCTTCACCACCCGCAGGTTCTTAACCCTTCACCCCCGCAGGTTCTTAACCCTTCACCACCCGCAGGTTCTTAACCCTTCATCACCCGCAGGTTCTTAACCCTTCACCACCCGCAGGTTAAGCCAGCTCGTCGAGCCCCCAGCCATCGTACGCAAGCTGTGTTGGGTGAACACCTCATGGCCGGGTGACCCCCCGCCCCCACCTCCCCTCACCCGCCCCACCGTGTCCAAATATTGCCTTATAGGCGTCGAGAACTCCTATACTGACTTCCATATAGACTTTGGGGGTACCTCTGTGTGGTACCACGTCCTGTGGGTGAGTATATTGATATATATATTGTAATGTTATATGGTATATTGATATACATCATACCTGGCGTGGAGAAGTCCTATACTGACTTCCATATAGACTTTGGGGGTACCTCTGTGTGGTACCACGTCCTGTGGGTGAGTATATTGATGTATATATTGTAATATTATATGGTATGTTGATGTATACCATGATTTTATATATTATATTAAGGTATATTGTGATGTTATATGGTAGTATATTAACCGAGGTACCTCTGTGTGGTACCGCGTCCTGTGGGTGGGTATATTGATATATATTGTAATGTTTTATATATACCGTGATGATAGATAGTATAATACCTAATGTATTTTGTAATGTTATACCTATGGTATATAATGGTATATGATATGAAAATGGTATATACCATATACCATTACGGTATATTAATATATACCATAATGTTATATGGTATATTAATCAAGTGTGTGATTGACGACGCTCTCTGCCATCATCACACTCTTATGTTATCACCATTAAATTATAACGAATTTATTGTTTGTTTTGACGTTATTTTATTTATTTTACCTAATTTTATTTTGAATTGTTTACATTGTGTTGGTGATACAAGTGTTGTATTGCAGGGCGAGAAGATATTCTACCTCATCAAGCCAACAGAAGCTAACCTGGTCCTCTACCAGCGCTGGATGAAAGCCAGCAACCACTCGGAGATGTTCTTTGCCGACCAGGTGATATATGGTGGTATATTAGGTGCTTTATGGTGGTATATTAGGTGCTTTATGGTGGTATATTAGGTGCTTTATGCTGGTATATTAGGTGCTTTATGGTGGTATATTAGGTGCTTTANACATTGAACTACAACTCAAGTTAGTTGCTGTATAACTCAAGTTAGTGGCTTATATAACTTAAGTTAATGCACAACTACAACATTGAACTACAGCTCAAGTTAGTGGCTCTATAACTTAAGTTAATGCACAACTACAACATTGAACTACAGCTCAAGTTAGTGGCTCTATAACTTAAGTTAATGCACAACTACAACATTGAACTACAGCTCAAGTTAGTGGCTCTATAACTTAAGTTAATGCACAACTACAACATTGAACTACAGCTCAAGTTAGTGGCTCTATAACTTAAGTTAATGCACAACTACAACATTGAACTACAGCTCAAGTTAGTGGCTCTATAACTTAAGTTAATGCACAACTACAACATTGAACTACAGCTCAAGTTAGTGGCTCTATAACTTAAGTTAATGCACAACTACAACATTGAACTACAGCTCAAGTTAGTGGCTCTATAACTTAAGTTAATGCACAACTACAACATTGAACTACAGCTCAAGTTAGTGGCTCTATAACTTAAGTTAATGCACAACTACAACATTGAACTACAGCTCAAGTTAGTGGCTCTATAACTTAAGTTAATGCACAACTACAACATTGAACTACAGCTCAAGTTAGTGGCTCTATAACTTAAGTTAATGCACAACTACAACATTGAACTACAGCTCAAGTTAGTGGCTCTATAACTTAAGTTAATGCACAACTACAACATTGAACTACAGCTCAAGTTAGTGGCTCTATAACTTAAGTTAATGCACAACTACAACATTGAACTACAGCTCAAGTTAGTGGCTCTATAACTTAAGTTAATGCACAACTACAACATTGAACTACAACTCAAGTTAGTGGCTTATATAACTTAAGTTAATGCACAACTACAACATTGAACTACAACTCAAGTTAGTGGTTATATAACTTAAGTTAATGCACAACTACAACATTGAACTACAACTCAAGTTAGTGGTTATATAACTTAAGTTAATGCACAACTACAACATTGAACTACAACTCAAGTTAGTTGCTGTATAACTCAAGTTAGTGGCTCAATAACTCAAGTTAGTGCATAACTACAACATTGAACTCTAACTTAAGTTAGTGACTATATAACTAAGTTAATTGTTATATAACCTGAGTTAGTGCACAACTACAACATTGAACTACAACTCAAGTTAGTGACTATAAGTTGAACTTTTGTTTTCTATGTTAACTTATAAGTTAGTCCCCAAGTTTGTGTGTCTGCAACTCAAGTTAATTAATTTTCTGTTAATATTTTCCGATCAACAATTCAACTTTGCCCTGCAATAACTCAAGTTTGTAAATTTTATAGTTGCCACATCCTGACCTCTAACTCAAGTTCATTTCTCCAGCTCAAGCTAAATTTATTTGCTTTTACATGAGTTATATGTTCTGTAATTCTGGTGTTTTCTTCAATTAATCAAACGTATTTATAATTTTATTTGTTTAAATTGACGTAATAACGTAACATTTAACTTAATTTGATATAAATATATTGATTTGAACTTGTAACGGCCAGGATATACGAGATGGAGCTTCTCATATGTACCCTTTACAAGTTCCAGTTTCCTCTTATTTTATTCATTCAAATTGATTTAATTATATACATTTGGGTTTAATTTGATATACATTTATTGATGATGTATTGATGTATATTGCAGGATCTACGAGATGGAGCTTCTGATGTGTACCCCCGACAAGTTCCAGTTCCCGCACTACCGCGAGCTGAGCTGGTACGCCGCCCGCCACCTCCTACAGGAGCTCCGGGGGGCCGTGGCCCCTCCTCCTGCCCTCCTACAGGGGGCCCGGGCCCTCTACCAGGTCCTCAGGCACTGGGCCAACCAGGTAATGTGTACCAGGCACTGGGACAACCAGGTAATGTGTACCAGGCACTGGGCCAACCAGGTAATGTGTACCAGGCACTGGGCCAACCAGGTAATGTGTACCAGGCACTGGGCCAACCAGGTACTGTGCACCAGGCACTGGGACAACCAGGTAATGTGTACCAGGCACTGGGCCAACCAGGTACTGTGCACCAGGCACTGGGACAACCAGGTAATGTGTGCTGGGACAACCAGGTAATGTATTATTTCCATATAATATAGTTATAAAGGTACATTGTTTTTGGTGTTATTAATGTTTTTGTTGTAGTCAGTGTTCTCGACATTAATAGATAAGTATTATTTCTAGTAAATACAACAGTCTAGACTAAATCACTCTTGACTAAATTACTCCAGACCTAACAATAATCATAATTATAATCATTAATAAAACAAACTATAGATAAAATAGCAAGTAATTATAATATCAATAGACTAAAATCTATAGATAAAGTAACAAGTTACTTACTATGTCTCAGGGGCAGAGGCCGGCGGGGGGCGCCTTGTCCCGCGCGCCTGAAGGCGTCAACGCCGCCAAGCTCCTTAAGGAGCTGCATAAGGAGCTTAGGACTACGGAGAAGCAGGTGATGTTAGGCTATATTATATATTAATATTATATATTATATATGCCGTATTATATATTATAATAGGTATATATAATATATAGCTCAGGTCTACAGAGAAGCAGGTAATGTTAGGCCGTATTGTCTCATGCTTCTCATTATTTGCTTTGTTTCGTTATACTTATTTGATTAATTTAAATATTAACGAAACAAATTTATTTGAGCACAAGAACTGAATTTCAATTAGAATAATAATTATAGATTGATAATATAATATAAATTGAATTAACCCTCTTCCAGCCGAGCGGTTGCTATGATCCCTCCCTCCCCCCCGCCCCGAGCGAGAGTCCAAACACTGAATTTTGATTATAATATCGATAATTACAAATCTATAATAATATAGACACTGATAATTAAATAACCCTCCATTAACAATAATATACTGATAATCAAATACCCCCCCCCCCAGGCCGTGGCCCTGCATCCCCCTCGGCCGGAGCGGGAGTCCAAGCGGCGCAAGAAGAAGTCCACACTTGCGGCGGACTTTGTGGACTACACCAACCTTACGGCCTTCCACTGCGCCATGGAGGAGCGGGTGGAGGGAGGGAGCAAGGTGGGGGAGTGTGTGGACTGCTCCAAACTTACGGCCTTCCACTGCGCCATGGAGGAGCGGGTGGAGGGAGGGAGCAAGGTGGGGGAGGGCGATGGGTGTAGACCAAAACAACTTGACGGCCTTCCACTTGTGATCTAATGACCAGTTTAGGACTTCGGAGTCCAAGGCCAAGCTGATGCGCCGCCTTCGTCGTCCTCCGTATCCCGAGTCGGCAGGCGGGGATTCTTCTCTCCAGTGAGTACAGTTCCAGGTGTTTCAGCCTTCCCCAGTAGTTCAGGTTCAGCTCCCTCATGCCGCTGATCCTGTACGTGAAGGTACGCTGCACTGCCTCCAGTTTCCACACCGCACCCGCCTTGAGTGGCGACCAAAGCTGGCAGCAATACTCAAGATTGGGGAGCACGAGGGCTCTGAAGAGTGTAATCATTGGTGCTGCTTCTCTCGTTCGAAATGTCCGCCATATCCACCTCATCCGTTGCCGGCTGCGCGCGACTATTTCCTCGATATGGGCATCGAACGTGGCTTCAGTACTCATCAACACTCCGAGATCTCGAACTAGTTGCTTCTCCTCAATTTCTGTGCCATCTGATGCCAAGTAGCGATGTGGCATCCCGATCTCTGTGACAACTCTGAATCTCATTGCCACGAATTTGATGCCATAGAATTGCATATTGTTCACTAGGGCCCAATCATAGCTTGTCGAAGAGTCATCCTGTAACCTCTCGCAGTCTAGGCCATCTGTGATCTTCATCAGCACTCTTGTATCGTCCGCAAATGATGATGTAGATGCGTGGGTGAGTTCCGAGTCTACGTCGGCAATGTGGATGAGGAAGAGGACTGCGGAACTCCGCTTTTCACCTTCGCTTCTCTGGATTTCGAGTTTTCCAATTGCGACAGCTTTTACCCTATTTGTAAGGAAGTTATGAATCTACCTTAACAGGCTTCCTCCTACCCCCAACAGTCTCAGCTTTCTGAAGAGCACCAAGCCCATGGTCAACTTTGTCAAAGACTCAAAGGCTTTAGCAAAGTCCAGGTATACCACGTCCACGCCAGCTCCTTCCTTCAGTAGGGCCATAAGGCGGGGAATGTGTTCCAGTAATTGTGAACAGGAACGATTACGCCGGGAGCCATGTTGTCCGTTATTGTACAGGTCAGCCTCTTCCATATACCGGACAAGCCTCCTGACCACTACCTTCTCAAAAACCTTGATCACATGTGAGGTCAAGGTCACAGGTCTGTAATTTTGGGGTCTGTCCCTCGCACCTCCTTTGTGGATTGGCGTTATCAGTCCCACTTTGAGGCCCTCAGGGATAATTCCCTCTGTTATCGAGGCTTTCCAGAGCATTGTGAGCGGAGCCTTCAATGCTCCAACACACTTTTTAACAACTCTGCTGGAATTCCATTCGGTCCTGTTGCTGAGCCTCTCCATTTCTTTGATACTTATTTCCATGTCTTCTGGCCCAAACTCAATGTTCCCAGCGCCTTTCCACCTGGCAGCTCCTGGAGAACTTCAATTTCATTCTCCTCCCTTGAGTAGCGGGGGTTACTGAACACTGATTCAAACTGAGATCCCAGTAACTCACACATGCCCTGATCATCTCCGACAATGACTTCGTTATCCTTAAGCGGGCTTACTGGCGTCTTTATTTTAGCCTTGGACTGAGCATATTTGAATGATATACGTTTAAAAATTACTTTTTAAAGACAACACTTCTAAAGAATCCAGTGTTTCCAATGATACAGATGTACAATGAATTTCTAGTTTTATTTTGGAATAATAAAAAAAATTAACATTTCATTTTTTAATATAAAATTTTTTCAAGCAAAATTATTTATTCTGTCAATTGATTCATGCATTGCCTCCAATTTCACACAAGTGTGCGATATTTCAGATCAATTGGACAAGTAAAAGTGTGTCAAATATCAATTATAAGATTTGTAGCTGAAAAAATTATTTTTTCAGTTTTTTTCAATATAGAGAAAAAGAAATTTATTTATTTATTAAATTATTTATTTCGTCATTTGATTCATGCATTGTCTCCAACTTTACGCAAGTGTGCAAAATTTCAGATCGATAGGATAAGCAGAAGTGTGTTAAATTTCGATTATAAGATTTGTAGCAGACAGACAGGCCAACAACTAGAAGTGAAGTGTTGTTAAGAAGAGAAGTGTTGTAAAAAAGTACTTCGGGTTCTCTCTGATTACTTCCACTACTCGTTTCTCGGCAGCTTGTTCTTCCTTCCTGTGCGAGTCCTGCAACGTGAGTTCGGTTTCTTTGTGCAGATTTATTAGTCTCTGTCTCCTCAGATCACTAGTGGATTCAGCTATTTGTTTATTTAATCGCCTGTGTTTTCTCATGAAGATTCGTCTGTCTCCCGGAATGCTGCGGACTTTGGGTCCCGTTTTTCTCGGGGTATGACGCACACATACCTGTGCTAATTTCTCACAAAGTATTGTGTAAGTTTCCTCTGCATTCATATCGTGAAACTCTTCTCTCTAGTCAGTTTCGTCAAGTTCATTCCATATTGCCTCCCAATCTGTTCTTCGATGGTGAAAGTCCTGCCAGTCCATTTTGGGGGTATAGCCCTGGGCTGGGTATCAGTTCCAATGGTCGTATGCACCCTCACCAGTCGGTGGTCTGACAGTGAGGTTTCTTCAACCCGAACGTCAACCACCATTCTTACATTATCAGTAAAAAAAAAGATCGATGATATTGTGTTCCCTTGTCGGCAACAGTATCTGCTGATAGAGCAAGTGTTCCACATCAAACTTCACTAGTTTGGCTTCTTGACTTCTGTCGCGGTCACCCAGACTTGTCCATCGGATACGTGGGAGATTGAAGTCTCCTCCCATTATCAGGCTGGGAGCTGGGTCACCCAGTCCAGCCACCCTGGTTTCTATTTCCTTGAAGTTTTTGATAAAATTTTCCGATGGGCAAGCAGACGGCCTACAGACCATGGCTACGCAGAGGTAAATTTTCTTCATATGTGCAGTAGTATCTTCATGTTCAACAAAGCCATCAGAGCTTCCAATCTCAATTCCACCGTGCTTCTTGCGGAGGAGTTTCTAAGGTAAGCAATTACTCCTCCCTCCTATTCGGTCCGCACGACAGTGTTGGAATCCTTCCATTGCAATTTCTGCATCCAGTATATCCTTCTTTAGGCGCGACTGCGTTAGTGCAATCATGAAGATCCCACCCTCGTCGGCCATCTCTCTCAGCACGCCAATCTTGTGGCGCGCTCTTCGTGGAAAGAGCCCCTCGATATTGGCCAGCAGGATACCAGACTCTTCCCTTCTTGATGTTCTTACCTGCAGCGACACCGATCTGCCAGGCGTCCCTGATCCAGCAGCTCCTTTATCTGGAGTTGCATCATTTCCAATTGATATTGCATTTGGTCCTTCATGTCTAAAAAAGCACTGAGGGTAACCTCTTGCTCCTCACGTGCTTCTCTGCCCCGTACACATCGGCTACTCAGTGGATTAGCTAAGTCGCCTTCCCTTCTCCATTGACTCCGTTCATTTCCACCTCGTACCTCACCGCTTCTTCCAACGGTGTTTCTCTCATGCAGCGTTGTTCTGTCTTCCCTGAGCGCGAGGGGCGGGCTGTGCGGTGAGCATTGCCATTTGCTGTGGGGGCATACCATTGGTTCTCGCTCTATTGCCGTTTTCTCCACTTTCTTTTCTTGATTTGATGTGGTGGAAACGACAGTTTTCTCTCGTGCAGACCTCTCTGTTCATGATGCTCCAGCACAGCGTAGGATGATAGAAGGGACAATCCTTACCTTTTTTGCACCCTCTGGGATGACCGCTTCCATAATCAAAGAATTTATAACACATTCTAGGGTGTGAGAATGTGCATCCTTCACCGTTCTTCCCGTATTCACATTTCTTTTGAAGGTGTTTCCAGCAAACACCTTTTTTAACTTGCGGTCTGCCGGGGGGTACATAGGCTTCTTGGGAGGAGGGTAAGGTTGGAAAAGATGATGGCAAACCGATCTCCAAATCCAGAAGGTTCAAGGCAGTGGTATAGGTCGTAGTGTTGGGAGAAACGTGAGCATCAGGGGTTTGAGCAGGGGGGAGAGTGGGTTCAGAAGTAACTGTGAGGGTAGGGATTAGGACTGAGGGTCTGATTAAGGGTGGGGGTAGAGTAAGTACGGGGGCGAGGAGAGGAGCGGGGGTAGAAGTGGGGCTCAGAGCAAGGGTAAGGTTGGGAGTGGGGTTTTGGCTTATGGCAAGGTTAGGGTTGGGGGAGAGGAGAAGGTAGGGGCATGGGAGGGGAAGGGGGTAAGGCTGGGAGGGGGGAAATGGAGGAGGCCGTACTGGATATGCCTGTATGCCGAACATTCATCACCGACTGAAGCTTTATTTTACTCGCAGAGTATATTTTTCGTATTCTTTCATAACGCAGTGTTTGCATTCATATGAAACTCTGGTCTGGTCAAGCCTCACGAGAACATAGAGCGGGAGCGCTGTACAACGAAGGTGTATAAACAAACGACATTTGTTGCATTGAATGGCTAATGGTGCTTGGCAATACTCACGGCAGATTGCACATGAACTTCCCTTAGTGGGCTCAATCGCAAGACATTTTGCCATGATGTCGTATTTTTTCTAATTCGTTTATCTAGTTGCACTAATTCTGTTTTTCAAGAGTCACTATTTCTATGGATAGTTAGTTTGAGAGGCTTCACTATTTCTCAAGTAGTCGTTGTTGTAGCTACACTATCCCTTCCTGTTGGGATCCTGGGTAAGAAATTTTGGCCGCGGCAGGCAGCGTGGTCTGGCGACCGGATACAAGTAATAAAATTTAGTTCAGACTCGAACGCACACTTCCTACACACTTGCCATCTTCCTGAGTCACAAATGCATTCACTGTATTTTCTTTAAATAACTAATTATATGTGCCTATATCACACTTTGCTATCGCTGATTCACTTCTTTACCGAAGAAAAACTATTTTGATTTTCAACTTGAATGTTTGATTGCTGAGTTAGATTTAATCTAGCAAATCCCAAATTTTGTCCCCAGAAATTACGATGGACACTTGAACGTTTTATTCTGTAAAGATGTGACGTTGTAGCTGGACACTTGAACGTTTTATTCTGTAAAGATGTGACGTTGTAGCTGGACACTTGAACGTTTTATTCTGTACAGATGTGACGTTGTAGCTGGACACTTGAACGTTTTATTCTGTACAGATGTGACGTTGTAGCTGGACACTTGAACGTTTCATTCTGTAAAGAAGTGACGTTGTAGCTGGACGCTTGAACGTTTTATTCTGTAAAGAAGTGACGTTGTAGCTGGACGCTTGAGCGTTTTATTCTGTAAAGAAGTGACGTTGTAGCTGACCACTTGAACGTTTTATTCTGTAAAGAAGTGACGTTGTAGCTGGACGCTTGAGCGTTTTATTCTGTAAAGATGTGACGTTGTAGCTGGACACTTGAACGTTTTATTCTGTAAAGAAGTGACGTTGTAGCTGGACGCTTGAGCGTTTTATTCTGTAAAGATGTGCCGAAATTTTGTGCAGCTTTTTTGAAGAGCAAATAATTTTAATTCTTCTAATTCCCAGATAATTTGCGCTTCAAGAATTCAAGTGATTTTAGTATGTGTGTAAACTGTAAAATAATACTGCTATGTTGACTATACACGGTATGTATAATGAAACGCGCATGACCTGTACGTTTGTAGAACGAAACGTAAATGGCATTTATGTAATCATTCGTTCAAGATATGTACGTAAGAAAAAACTTACATGACATAGTGTAGAATGAAACGTAGATGGCATGTACGTTAAATCATAAGTATAAAGCTTACACGAGATAATTACGTACAGACGGACGAGTACGAGTCTGATGGTCAGGAGGACAAGATGCTAGTGAAGGGGGGCGGCGCCCCCCAACTGCCCGGGCATGTACAGCAGCAACAGGTGCACATCATCACACAACAGGTGCAGCAACAGGTGCGTGCATCTGTTGAATTATTACTATACTATTATCATGATTATTACTATTACTATATATGTGCTAGAGGCCTTCATTCAGAGTTTAGTTCTCTAGCTGTCTAGCTGTCTAATTTGTAATTAGCTGTCTAATTTCTTATTAGCTGTCTAAATAGTGTAATAAGAGTCAAGTTCAATATCTGTCCGATATTATGTGCAATAGTTGGGTCAACGTGTCCCAAAATTATCCACATTGAAGGTGTGAGCAAACGCGTCGCCGGATACGACATCGTTACTAATAATATGGATAATAATATAATGATAATAATGACGATAATAGGTAGGTACTAATAATACGGATAATAATATAATGATAATAATGATGATAATAGGTACTAATAATCTACTTTGAATGTGAATGTGTGTTCAACTTTGTGAATGTGCCCCAGCAAATATACTGCAGTGCAGTGACTGTACACTGCAGTGCAGTTCACTGTACACTGTACACTGCAGTACACTGTACTCTGCAGTGCAGTTCACTGTACACTGCAGTGCAGTTAACTGTACACTGTACACTGCAGTATACTGTACTCTGCAGTGCAGTTCACTGTACACTGTACACTGCAGTATACTGTACTCTGCAGTGCAGTTAACTGTACACTGTACACTGCAGTATACTGTACTCTGCAGTGCAGTTAACTGTACACTGTACACTGCAGTATACTGTACACTGCCGCAGGTGGCGACGAAGGTGTCAGTGTCACGGGGTGGGCACAGCGCGGGGTACGCCTTCAGTGTACTGGGTACGTCGGACTACGGCATGAGTGGTACCCCGCCCCATGATCCTGAGTACCCCGCGTACCCCGCCCAGTACCCCGCCAACGTCAAGTGAGTACCCTGCATACCATGTGCCCAGTACCCTGCATACCATGCCCAGTACCCTGCATACCCTGCCCAGTACCCTGCATACCATGCCCAGTACCCTGCATACCCTGCCCTGTACCCTGCATACCCTGCCCAGTACCCTGCTACCCTGCATACCCTGCCCAGTACCCTGCATACCCTGCCCAGTACCCTGCATACCCTGCCCAGTACCCTGCATACCCTGCCCAGTACCCTGCTGGAACTGTAATGGGTAAACCTGCTCTTTAATTTATTCACTGAAAGTGATGAATATAATGTATGCAAACAATCATAATAATCTAATACATAATAAATGATATAACATAAAAACTAGAAATTTAAAAGTTTCCTCGTCATAAGCGGTGCTCCATCATCAGTTCACATATCAAACAGATGGGAACAGTATGGGTCTAAACAACGCTTACTGTTCCCATCCTCTTGGAATTTTTAATTTAGAATATGTTTTAATGTTTTTATTCATTTTTTTTATGTACAAGCTACTTTTTGATCTCTTATGGAAATTTAACTTTTCTCTATTGACAGTGTTTTCAATAAAGTTTTTTAACTGATGATGGTCTTAAATTCTTTAGGATGAGATATAGTTCATTTGTAAATCATTTTCCTGTTTTTATATCATCCTTAAGTTACAATTTAATTAAGAAGACTGAATGATAAAAGCATTTATATTAAATCAGTCGGTATTAATGCTTTAGCATAATTATGTTATCTTTTCATTATTAGGATATCATTTCATCATTGACAAGGAATCAATGATATTGTAAATTTATGCAATGATAATGTACAGTGATAGAATGGTATTGTTGCAATATTATTAAACTTCTTATTTGATACAATGTCACTGTACAATGACACAATGATGTAAATATTATGTCACTGTACAATGACACAATGATGTAAATATTGTGTCACTGTACAATGATGAGTCAGGGTGAAAAGTGAGTCAGGGTGAAAAGTGAGTCAGGGTAAAAAGTGAGTCAGGGTTAAAAGTGAGTCAGGGTAAAAAGTGAGTCAGGGTAAAAAGTGAGTCAGGGGGTAAAAAGTGAGGGGGGGTAAAAAGTAGATCAGGGTAAAAAGTGAGTCAGGGGGTAAAAAGTGAGTCGGGGGGTAAAAAGTAGATCAGGGTAAAAAGTGAGTCAGGGGGTAAGAAGTGAATCAGGGGGTAAGAAGTGAATCAGGGTAAGAAGTGAGACAGGGGGTAAAAAGTGAATCAGGGTAAAAAGTGAGTCAGGTGTAAAAGTGAGTCTGGGGATAAAATGTGAGTCAGGTTTAAAAGTGAGTCAGGGGGTAAAAGTTAGTCAGGTTAAGGGGGAGGTATACCCTAAAAATCGGAAATTTTTGCCCTCTCGGTTTTTATGCTCATCTTAAAGCTGCTTTTCTGACTCATTCAACGGTACCAAAATCATCTCTGTACGTTGATTTATGCGTTCACTACAGATCCTAAAAGAGTGGGGGGGTTCTTTAACATTTAAGATACGGGAAAATTAGCTGCCGAGCACTACATATAGAGTGTTTGCTTGAGCTGCACTTCAGTTACCCGCCTGGCGTCGTACGGGGTGGTGTGCATGCAGTCGCTCCCACCATCCTTGACTGGAATCAAGCTCCAGTAACGTTTAGTTTCGTATCATTGCTACATTGAGTGCCTATTTCAAGGCGCGCGGGATTTTGTCGCGCTCTCCTGAACATTTACACTTATTGTCACGGCATACCTATCTCCTAGAGTTTTGAAGCTACAGCAATGAGACATATTCCATTCGATTCGTAAAGACCATACCTATCGAGTAACGAAGCCCTTTTTTAGATTTGTGCATAGTTTGGATTAAAAATGGGGGAGAATGGGGGAAAATCAGAAGAAAATGAGAAGAAAACGGGAAAATGCGTGTTAAAAAAGTAAGGCAACAATAAAAAAAATGGGCTTCGTTACTCGATTCGTATGGTCTTTACAAATCGAATAGTATATCTTTCAATTCTGTGGCTTGAAAACCGTAGGAGGAGATAGATTTTTAAAGTACCCCCTTATTTGTCCGTTTTCTATGAATTTTACGTTTTCTATAAATTTTTCCGAAAAAATCATATAAACAAATGTGCTTGTATTTCTGTTTTACATATATGTGTGAAATTTCAGAAAGATTCGTTAGAAAATGGGGACGTTTTTCTGGAGGGTATACCTCTCCCTTAAAAGGTGAGTCAGTTCACAGGTGGTAAAAAGTGAGTTAGGGGGTAAAAAGTGAATCAGGGTAAAAAGTGAGTCAAGTGAGTCAGTGGGTACAAATTTAATCCCCCCTCCCCCGCAGACGTGCCAGCGTGGAGGGCGGCAGCAACGGCGCGCCCCCCACGGCGCCCCCCGCGTACCCCCAGCAGGAGTACGACCCCCTACGCCGGCACCCCGGACCCCTGCCCGCCCTGCACCCCATGGTGAGTGAGAGGTGTTACCATATCATCATCTTATTGTGCTACTATCATCCCATCGCATTATCATAATCATATTGTGCTATCATCTATTCGCACTATCATTATCCCATCGTACTATCATTATCTCGTCGTATCCCATGAGTTAGGATGATACAATACCCTATAATTTGTAGTACCCCCCCCCCCCCCATCATCATACCACCATCACACGGCACCACCATCACACATCACCATCATCACCACTACGGTGTGCAGGAGGGTGTGGAGGGCGGCGGGGACGACGACGTGGACGAGGCGGGCGGCGGCCTGATGATTGACGAGGCGCCCACCCCCAGACGCCGCCCCGCCCGCCCCCGCCACCAGGACGGCAAGCTTAAACTAGGTAACTATATTATTATAGTTACTGCCCGAGCTCATATTAAGCTCTACCTGAGGATCGGGTTACGTTGACTAGGTTAGCGAGGGATAAGTAAGATACATGTGTGCAGATAACATATCTTATATACGGAGTGGTAATACAAAGTTACAATACAAAGGTATAAGCTACGGCATCGACCGTAAGGTCGGAGAACTCTACCGACACGCTACATCGCGGAGCGCTTATCAGCTACTGGGGGCCTTACTTAAGGTTGCCGGCCCTTATATAGCCTTCGCTTCCGCCCACAACTGAGGTGTTGAGCGCGTGATCTATCACGTGTCTTCCAGATGACTCATGTCTCAATCTATAGCAGGTCAAGTGAATATTACGTCTCAATTACATATGGTCTAATTATATGATATAATTATAATGAACGTAATGAGACGCCAGATTGACACCGGACATTACGGCACTAGCGGCTAGTTACGGCACTAGCGGCTAGTTACGGCACTAGAGTTACGACACCAGCGGCTAGTTACGACACCAGCGGCTAGTTACGGCACTAGCGGCTAGTTACGACACTAGCGGCTAGTTACGGCACTAGCGGCTAGTTACGACACTAGCGGCTAGTTACGACACCAGCGGCTAGTTACGACACTAGCGGCTAGTTACGACACCAGCGGCTAGTTAGTTACCGCACTAGTGGCTAGTTCGTAGGTCCCCAGAAATGCTCTAGTGCCCAAACAAAATTCAGACGCGGGCCCGACTCTGCATCAGGCGCCGCCCAGGACTCGGGGAGCGCGTAAATCAGCCGCTCATGTCCGCCTGGGCCGCCGTACAACGGTTACCCCCCGCCCCCGGTGCATTACCCCCGCGGTGCATTACCCCCGCGGTGTATTAATCTTCACTAAGCGTCCCCCCCGGTACATTACCCCCCTAACCCCCCTCTCTTGTGCAGTGGGAGGCGGCGCTGAAGGGGAGCTGCTCTACGGCGCCGGTGACGTCGCTGGGGAGGTCAGGACATTTACCTCCTTATTATTTATTGAAAATACTTTCTTCTAGTTTAATCAATTATAATTTATTATGTTTATATTTATTTATTAATACAGACATTGGTAAGAAAATATTAATATTGATATTGATTGATTAGTATATGTAGTTGTATTGTACAATATTTCCCATTCATTTCTCTGAGTACTGCTTCCTTGTAAGCGTTCTCAGGCCACGCAAATTCTTACATAATCTTGTAAAAGAAATGAAAATTGAAAAAAAATTCTTGTAAAATTAAAAAACAAAATAAATAATATGCAGGTACCTCAGTAAACGCTTGGGATGTAACAGCCCCAGGCCACGCTTATAGTCAAATTAAAAAAAAGCAAATAAATTAATAAAATCTCCCCCTAACTCCCCCCCAGGTTTGAGGTGGGGGGATTTATAATATACACGCTTATAATAGAAATAATTATGCCTAATATTATCATATTACAAAAATTATTACGCTTATTATTATTATATTAAAAAAATAATTACGCTTATTATTATTATATTAAAAAAATAATTACGCTTATAATAAAAAAAAATAATATGCCCATTATTATTATATTATTATATTAAAAAAATAATTACGCATATAATAAAAATAACAAAAGAAATAATATCCTCCCCCCTTAGGTGGAGGTGGCGCCCCCCCACCACAACGGCATCGAGGAGCTGCTGAGGGCGTCCGCCTACGCCCCCGCCGAGTACGGGGGCGCCGCGCCCCCCGAGTATGGGGGGGTCCAGGGGGGGCAGGTATGCCTGTTGTGTTGACAATTGTTATATTATTAGTGTACTGTGTAAATATATAATATTTTATGATTATCTTATTATATTATCTTATATTATCACTGTACAGCATAAATATATAATATTTTCTGATAATTTTATTATATAAATAATATATTATTGACTATTATACAGCTATAGTTGTGTGCATTATTGGTTATTATTTTGCTTTAGTTGTAAATAAATATATTTTGTACTATTGTCCATACAGTTTAAATTTAATAATTGAAATAATCATTAAATTTATTGTATGTGCCTGATTGTCTCCGTGTCACCATTTGTACAACACACCCAATAATGTGCCTGAGTGTCTCCGTGTCACCATTTGCACAACACACCAATAATGTGCCTGAGTGTCTCCGTGTCACCATTTGTACAACACACCCAATAATGTGCCTGAGTGTCTCCGTGTCACCATTTGTACAACACACCCAATAATGTGCCTGAGTGTCTCCGTGTCACCNGAGGGGATGGTCTTCCCCAAGAGAAGGGATGGAGGGGATGGTCTTCCCCAAGAGGGGAGATGGAGGGGATGGTCTTCCCCAAGAGAAGGGATGGAGGGGATGGTCTTCCCCAAGAGGGGGGATGGAGGGGATGGTCTTCCCCAAGAGGGGGGAGATGGAGGGGATGGTCTTCCCCAAGAGAAGGGATGGAGGGGATGGTCTTCCCCAAGAGGGGGGATGGAGGGGATGGTCTTCCCCAAGAGGGGGGAGATGGAGGGGATGGTCTTCCCCAAGAGAAGGGATGGAGGGGATGGTCTTCCCCAAGAGGGGGGATGGAGGGGATGGTCTTCCCCGAGAGGGGGGATGGTCTTCCCCAAGAGGGGGGATGGAGGGGATGGTCATTAATGGGGAATGATAAGGATGAATGGGGCAGGGAATGTAACACTAATGGGATGAATAAAAATATTTTTAAAGATATTAGAGATATTTTTGTGAAATAATCAATATAATATTAACGACAAATAATGAGACATTATTTTTTTAACAATATTTATTTAAGGCCTTGCCCGCATTGTTATGTATCAATCAATATATTCATATAATATATAATATGAAGAGTGAATATGATAATGGATATATAGTGAATATAATTAATAACCCCCCCCCAGTGGGAGCGGGCGCGCCTCCCCCTCCACGCGGGACGCCATCGCAGGGATGCTCAGCATGAGCAGGGATGCCAACTACACTGTGACGGGGTGAGGCTAATTAGCCACATTAGTCTAATTAACCCTATAAGCCTAATTAACCCTATAAGCCTAATTAACCCTATTAGCCTAATTAACCTTATCAGCCTAATGAACCCTATTAGCCTAATGAACCCTATTAGCCTAATTAACACTATTAGCCTAATGAACCCTATTAGCCTAATGAACCCTATTAGCCTAATGAACCCTATGAGCCTAATTTGCAATTAACCGATCAAGTCTAATGATATTTTTAGAATATCATTAGTGATACAATTTATGGTACCTAGTTGATATTGCATCTTCATATTATTTATTGTTATATTATTAATTATTATTATTATTTATATTATTGTTTTATGAAAGCTGATATTATTACTTGATATAATTATTATAATAATTAATAATTATGTAATTAAATTATAATAATGACTTTTTCTCCTAATGCTATCATGTGTCCTCCGTACAGCGGCAGCGTCCATCAGCTAGCAGGTGGCAAGCGTCAGCTGATGGTAGGAGGCCAGTTGATGGCAGGTGGTCGTGTAGTGGCAGGTGGACAGTTGGTGGCAGGTGGCCAGCTGATGGCAGGTGGCCAGTTGGTGGCAGGAGGACAGTTGGTGGCAAGCAGTTCACCACAATACCAGCGCCACAGAGTGGCCACCGTCATGAACAAGTCTGTGGCCCCCAGGAGGTACATGGAGGAGGACAGCATCAAGAAAGTCCATCAGGACGAGGACTACGGTAACATATTATAGCTTGTTTATATCATTAATATAACTAATATAATATATTATATTTCTTACACTATTTATATCAATACCAAGACTACGGTAATATATTATATTAGTACCATTATTTATGTCATTACTATGACTGCGGTAATATTATATATGTATCATTATTTATATCATTACCAAGGTTGCGGTAATCTCTCTAACAAAATTTGGGTACCGCCTCGGTGTCTGCCGTAGAGTCGCTACACTCGCTTAAAGTTATTCTGGGTCTGCTTGACAAGTGTGTCCTGAGAGTATGACAAGTGTGTCCTGAGAGTATGACAAGTGTGTCCTGAGAGTTTGACAAGTGTGTCCTGAGAGTATGACAAGTGTGTCCTGAGAGTATGACAAGTGTGTCCTGAGAGTATGACAAGTGTGTCCTGAGAGTATGACAAGTGTTTCCTGAGAGTATGACAAGTGTGTCCTGAGAGTATGACAAGTGTGTCCTGAGAGTATGACAAGTGTGTCCTGAGAGTATGACAAGAAGAGGCTGCACTTCAAGCCCGGCCGAGGCGGACATGAGCGGCTGATTTACGCGCTCCCCGAGTCCTGGGCGGCGCCTGATGCAGAGTCGGGCACGCATCTAAATTTTGTTAGGGTTATTGCACTTATTTCTTTACGTGGACTGGTTTAATTTCTTATATTTATGTCATTATTTAAATGAAGACTACGGCACTGTATTGTCTTCGTTATAATTGCATTTTTTTAATTATTCGCTTTTTTAAAAGAGAATTTAAAAGCAAAGAAAATAACATTTACTCAGAATTAACATCAGAATCCTTTTTTTCTATGCTTGTATTTTATCTTGCTCGCATCCCAAATTTGTCAAGAATTTAAAAGCAAATAATATTACGGGTAAATTTATTTACTCTTCGTATTCAGAGTATTTACATCAGTCACTGAGAAAAATCAATGGCTCATGTAACCAAATAGTGACACTTTCTGCACGCAGCCCTGAAATACATTTTCGCCGGGCCCAACATCGTAATGACCTACACGGGGGTAAAAAGTGACTCACACTTTGGACAAAACTTATGTCCTTTCTCCGAGTGTTACTTTGGTTACATCGAAAATTAACGAAGAATTCAAAAGCGACGAAAGTGCCAAGACTTCTCTTCATATTCATTATATGTATTTATCTTAGATAATATCTAATATATAATACTAATATGAATTATTCACCGTATTCCCCGCAGTTTACCCCACGCTGGACCACTCGGACGACGAAGACTTCCCCGTGTTTAAGCCCCGCGGGAAGAAGAAGGAAGACGAGGCCTGGAACCCCAAGGCGCGGGTGCGGGTGTGGGGCCCGCGACCCGAGCGTCCCGCGCGTCACGGGGCCAAGAAACAGGCGGTGGAGAAGGGGCTCGAGGTGGCGGCTAACAGGAGGAATATACAACCGGTGGGTGGCGGGTGGCGGCTAACAGGAGGAATATACAACCGGTGGGTGGCGGGTAACAGGAGGAATATACAACCGGTGGGTGGCGGGTGGCGGCTAACAGGAGGAATATACAACC